CACTTTTGTTGCCAGCGGTTTAGACATTAATGGCTGTGTGTTGCATTATTTTGAGGGAACAGCACATTTACACTGTTATACAAGCTGTATACTCACTGCTTTACATTGTAGCCAAGTGTCATTTCTTCAGTATTGTCACATGAAAAGATATATTAAAATATTTATGAAATGTGAGGGGGTGTACTCACTTGTGATATACTGTATATTTATTTATTAAAATAATTTCTTTCACACCTTCTGAAAACACAAGCCAGCTTATAAACAATCTCTGAAATGATTCCTGGTCTTCAGGAAAGGAGCTGTATTTGTTTCTGTAGTCCACGTACACAGTGTAGATCTCATAGCATATGCACTGAACCTTGATAAATATCTTGCAAGACATGTACTTTTTAATCAAACAAAAAGCTTTTAGCAGATTACAGTTAAAGCATGTTCTTCCTTTACAAAGCATAAAATTACCTTCAGCAACAGTGAGCAAATTATTCAGCTCTGCAGAAGACTGAAACTGAATGGGTTCAGAATTCCTGACATTTCCTAGTGGCAAAAATGGATCATAGATATCACTAGAGAGGTCTGCGAGGCTTAAAAGATAATGGCTTTGCTGTGTATAAGTGTTAGAGCCATGAACACAACTGTGTAGGACCTGGAAGAAAAACAAAAATCTATATGAGCATTTGATGAAATGGACATAAAGGGTTTTATCAAATTAAACTTAATAGTATTTAAGGCACTACGAGACTCTTTATAACATTAGAAATAAAGAGTAAAAGCATGCTGCTTATTTGTAACTGTGTTTTGTTTGTTTGTTTCATATATTTATGGAGTGGTCACCTGTATTCACATATATGAGTGGCACACTTGTGCATAGTCCCATTTAGGAAAGTACTAAGTTTAGTGTTTTGGCAAGAATCTCACCCATCCACTGCATGTGTCTGGGCATCCTGCGATTGATACCTTTGTTCTGAAAACCGACGCACTGGACCAAAACTGAGACAAACCCCTACAGCTGGAATGCAGAACAAGTTATATAAATACACAGATGACCACTCAGAGAACCAGTTACAGGTGAGCAGTATGTCCTTTGTTGTAGTCTCTCTGAATCATATACATGGGTGAATACAAGCTAACGTAGAGGGCAACAACACTGGCAAATAAGGCAGAAAATGCTCCAGGACTGGGAATGGAGATTTGTATCAGTTTCTGTTGACTACATAACATACAAATAAATGTGAATCAACCTGGAGTTTTACCCCAATCTGTTTCTCATATTATCAATTGGCTGGCATTGTAGAATATTGAGAGAAATAATTACTAGCTTGATCCAGCACACTGGTTCTATTTCACATATAAAGTGCACCAAAAATTTAAAGAACAAATGTGACAAATATATGTTTTTCAGGCACATGTAACATATGGGATACCTGTTGGGATCCAAGGATGATAACTGGCAGCAACAGTGTTCAGCACAAATTCAGGGGAACACCTGACAGCTGTCAGGGCACAGCTTATAGCAGCTGTACCCAAATTCCAGCTTAAAAGCGTGTTTTCCAACCTAAGAAGTCAAGCTCAGTCACTGGACTTGGGCTTGGGAGAGACAAAAACTTTGGTAGATATTGAAATGGACCATGCAGGAGCCATGCTATGTTGAAAAGAAAAAGACATGACAAGTTTCTAACACTGGCCTAGATACAATGGGATGCTGACACACATCACAGAACTTTCCTTTCCCTGTGGCATTAAGAGATACCTTAAAACTCTCTTTGGAGAGTTTTTCCCAGCCCTATAGAACAGGTTTTGGTATGCAGGGGTGGGGTGGGTGAGGGATACAATGAAGAGGAGATTGGAACCGCACTAACAGATAAAAAATATAGGACACAGAGCCATGAAATAATATTGTTAACAGTTGCACAAAAACATTTCTTTAAAACTGTGTGGAATCCTATTTGTATATTACTGAAAAAACTGCATGCTAGAAAATCATGTGTTTACTGATAAAGAATACAAAATAAATTGTGATAGTAGTTTGACTATAGTTATGAACAGGATCATACTTTCTTCTGAATAAATATAGGACACAGAATCATGAAATAATATTGTTAACAGTTGCACAAAAACATTTCTTTAAAACTGTGTGGAATCCTATTTGTATATTACTGAAAAAACTGCATGCTAGAAAATCATGTGTTTACTGATAAAGAATACAAAATAAATTGTGATAGTAGTTTGACTATAGTTATGAACAGGATCATACTTTCTTCTGAATAAACATTTGTTAAAAATAATTTTCAGAAAGTTATTTTGTCTCAGGAAATACACAAACAGCTAATTATGAGGGATTGTTTCATTCCAATAGAGCTTCTACTGCAGCAGAAATCCTATTTTTGTCCTTGCACAGATGTCAATACCAACACTTTAAGCCAGCAATTTAACAAGCTGATGCAGAAACCTTTCCATAAGCTATAACCCATGTGTTTCTTAGATCAGGTATTGCTTCTCTGCTTATTGTTACGGTGGATTCACTAGATCCTATGCAAGTACAAGCAGAATAATGCCATCTCTTGTTCTTTTTCTGCTTGTGTAACCTTGGATACAACTCAATACATAAAAGAGATTGTTCAGGATGTTTCAGGGATGCTTCTCATTCAAATTAATGGAAAAATATACCTTTATAGACAGGAGTTCAATTATTCAACCTGTACTAACAAGCTACAATACTAGTTGCTAACATTTGTAGTTCGCATTGTTAGCAAGTTTTAAAAATGCTGTTTGATCATGCTTCCATTCAAAACAAACAATCAAGGAAGAGAATTACTTAGAGATGATCCTACTTACCCTATAGATGTAATCAAGCAATGGAGCTTTACAAGAATGTTGATCTTCAAGACTAGAAGAGACTACAGGCTCCAACAACATTTTCACTGGTAATGTCATGCACCAGTCCATCAAACAAAGTAATAATGAAACTATAAACTAAAACAGAAAGTTGCTGGTGTTAGTTCTAATTAAAACATCTGAAAATATTAATCCAACAAGGGAAAACACATACAAATTGGTCCTATATACACATTTTTTGAGATAAGTTAGTTCATGAAGCTGGAGTGGAAAGCAAAATCTATCACCATCACTAAAATTGTTCCAGAGTACTACTCATCATCTATTTGTGGTCTGTAGGAGAAGCGAGATATCTTTCTGCTTTTGCCTGCCCTCCATTGCCCATTGAACAATAATTAATTCTTCAGGTCAGGCTGACTGAAGTCAAGTTGTCTGGCTGCACATTCTCATATTTTGGCCAGGAAAATTTTTAGCCTGGGAAATATATAGCATACATTTCCATGCTTATTTCACTGGATCAGGGTACCCTAAATAACAGGATCAGATCTGTAAGAGTCTGTCATTACATACCTTTTTATCATTTTCTACAGAGGAGTGTTCTGCACTAGGCAACAGAAATGCGATAGTCGCAACAAGGATCTGTGTAAAACCAATTTCAGAACAATGAGTTTAAAGAAATGCCTTCTTCAAATCAATCAAAAGATAGAATATGTGTCAAAGTACTCAGTGAAATTTCAATCATTACTTTGTAACGAACATTTTCCCCAAAATAATGTGTCTCAATTCCTATCATCACTAATACCAGAAAAATGCCGTGCAGAGGGCCTTCCAAATTTTTTCCAAAGGAAGACAGAGACATGTAAATTTAAATAAACTAACATTTTAAACAGAGATTTATTTATTTATTCCCTATAGCAAAACCTTTTCCTAAATACCAATATAAAGAGTGATAAAGTAACATATTAAATATGCTCGTAGTTTTCTTTCACGAAGCTTGACCCTCCTCTACCATTTTATACAGAATGAATTTACTATTTACAGTACTAATATACTCCTTTAAATCCTAGATTAGCATTATGTGCAACCAATTATCTGAAAATAGAAGATTTAATTTCAAAATGACTTCAATTTAAGAGGGGGGGAAATATTCTCCTGACTATCACGCTCAAAAAGAAAGTCCAATATAAAAATTATTATGTTAGATTCAAAATTCTTATCAGAAAAGAAACCAAATCAGAAACTGAAACTCATTGTAAATAGTAATATGGATTCTGATATAGTTCTATAACCTTTAAAAGAGTTCTCTACAGATATATCAGAATTGCAAATTAGCATTGTTGCCAACTCAGAGAATGATTAATTCTTTATGGTAAAATTTACTCTTCATATCCAACCAACCCCTAAAGTCCACTGGAATGGTTTTCTTCTCCTATACAGTGGAAAATACAGGAATATAGTATATTTTGCAAATAAAAATAAAATACCGTGCTTGGTACGGTCAAGTATTGAACTGGAATCTATGATATTGGGAAAATATGAAAATCTTTCCTACTCTGGGTTGAGAAGTTATTGGAGACTGAATGTTTTGAGAAGTTGTTCGAGAGTGAGCGTAAGTATATAAATATTCTAGAAGATGGACATACTTCAATAATTTTTCTGGGTAGAGAAGACTCATATTTTTGTAGTTTTTCCCAGTAAGATGTCAGCAGCTGAAAAACATCACATGCTTCCTGTGCTACCTGCTTGTTGGAAAACTGTAAAGGAGAGAAAAATAAATAAAAGTAAAACCACAGAACACATGACAAAACTGTAAACATTTTTGCCACTGTAAACACTATTTTTTCCCCAATTAGCATCTCTTTATATAAATCTCCAAATGCAAGGTGCTGTGGACATTAGGGGAAGTGGTTTCATGCACATATCTTATGCCCATGTTAAAATCATTTATGTATGCCTTCACTGAGTGCGACATCTAACACAAGTGATGTTCCAGGCCAAGCAAACTCCCTTTGCTTGCTTCCATTATTAGAAGCATCACAGATGTATGCCTTCAGTTTTCACATGCACTTAAAACAGAATCCTGGATCACAGAATTGAGGTGGGCAATTCAGAAAGTACAGGTGGGACAACTTCCTCCTCTTGTCGACTCTGAGAACATGAGTGTACAAGCACCCCAAATCTCCTTTTCTCGTTAAGTGCTAGAGGAAGTACTAACCACATCTAGGATATAGAAAAGCAGTGTCAGATATAAGATAAGTCAACAACTACTGTTAGCAGAAAACACAGTCACTGATTTGTGTCATGCCCTCCTACCAATGCATCACTCAAGAAATGTACTATGTTTTATCATGTCTTCTGACACTTCTAGACCTCTGTCCTGCACATTTCCATGCAATGGAGAGCTGTGCCCCTAAAACTGTGAAGGCAAGCTTAATAAGTATACACCAGTCCTCATCAGGATCAAAATGACTTAATGGCTGAACAGCTAACATAAACATATCTTGAAATAGTGAGGTTTTGGCAAGTGCCTTTCATTTCTTCCCCAAGGATTTTCCAGGAAAGAGAATAAAAGCAAGTAATTATTTTATTTTTTCTGTTTTAAGCTCAGTTACTGTGGAAGCTCAGGAAGAGCTTGAACACCAGGACACTGCTTCAGTAATTTGGTACATTATTTTGTTTTGCTAGTGTGGGAAGCAGCTTATTACTTAACTCTATATGTTTCCACCAAATATAACAGGTTGTGCTGTCATTACTGTTTTTGGGATGTGGATAGTGTCACTTAAAAAAACTCACAATTATCAATACACAAATGACTGAGAGTGATGGAGTGTGTGGTTCTTTCAAGCAATTCTTACTTTTAAAGAAAGGTTCTGCACTACTCAGATCAGTGTGGGATCGCTCTCCTACATCCTTGCTTCCTTTGTCGCCATTAATACTGCAAATGAATGTGATGCTGTACAGCAGGAAGTGTAGCAACTACACTTTCTCCTGCATCACATGTCCCATTGCATTTTGAACTAGAGGGAAGCAAAGAGGAAAATAATTGGTCATGGAAAAATATGCTGCTCAGAATCCCCCCAAAGTTACATTCTGGCAAAATTTCCTTTCCTTTTTCCTGAATTAATTTAATATTTTAAGAATTTGAAACGTTTTCTGGCAGTTTAACCATACTGCTGCATTCAATCAAGTCACACAGACCCATGCCATACTAGTACCTTTAATGTCACACCTAAAACATTTATAGCTTCCTTTACTTGAGGATGGTTTGTATATTGGACTAGTTCTTCACATATCCAAAGCCCAAGACAGCAAAGAGATAAACACCTTCCAAAGAGAGAAAGAGAGAGATATTCATTTAGTAATATTATCTCTTCTAGTTTTCAGTTCTGTAGAAATCTTCAAATGAACTATAAATAGGCACAAGAGTTATGTTGCCCTTAGCCTTAAACCATCCATACTTTTATGCAAGGTCTAAATTTCAAGCCTATTTCCCAATAACCTTGCCATATTCATTACAGTGCCCCACATAACGGGAGACACAATCTCTTTCTGCTCCATTACATTGACCAAAGAGATCTGTGTTGTGTTCCCAGACATAAGACTGCTTCAGTTGTTGAGTAATATTTATTCACCAGAACATAAGACAGGATAGTCCTTCTATTGAAAAGATACACTCTTTAGTTTTTATTTCATTATATTTTCTGTTTTATTCATTTTACCTTGAAGCTTCAGTTGGTTCATTTATGGCATTCTTCAAAAGAATGTTTATGAGGTAACACTAGAAGAACAAAAAAAATATATAATAAACATTCTCCTTCGCACAAATATATTGTAGGGGAGTCTGCACAATCCACTAAGATTAAGAACATTCAGCATGGAAGATGGAGTAGACATGTTGGATCCCAACTGATCTGCAGAAGATCGTTAAGCACTTTTTGATATCAACATCATTCATTACCAGTTCTGAAAGATGCTGCCTTAAAAATGACTAAGACAGACTCAAATCTTACTCAGAGCAAATATAATCAGGCACACATTTATCTACCGTTAAGTGTTCCCCTACTCTTGAAGTTAATTTGCTCCTAGCAAATCCTTCTGGAGAAATTCCTTTGATTAGTTCAACCTACCATCCTCAAAATTTACAGCATGTAAAATGTGGAAAAAGTTTTCATTGGTACCCAGTATAAGTATACATGTGCTTGGAAGGTAAAAACCTAATCTGCACAATGCAGCTCACAGCTTTTCAGAGGGTTTCTCTCATACAGATACCATCCATCTCTGCAAAATCTTCATGAATGATACAACATCATGTGGTGAGGTAGGGTACTGAGATCTCTGAGCACAGCACATATTCACTGCGGTTTATTTCCTCACCATACAGTCTATATTCATTTCCTGCACATATGTAATTCCTTCTCCTGGAACAGCATGCCTGAGCAATGTTTTAAATCTTTTTTAGAAATTTGTTTTCATGCTCAACTGATCAAGCTTTGTCAACTTTAGACTTGCTCTAACATATCCATTATTCATACGCTTTCCTCCCCCAGTACAATGGATGTAGAAATGGCATGGGGGATGCAAGGTGAGAACATGATGGCAAGATCAGCAAGATAATTATGGAAAGCAGGCACAATAGTATTAAATTTAGGGCCATGCCAGTTTCATTTGCAAACATTTATGACTTTATATGAGCCTTCTTCTCCTCCTCCCCCAGGTCTTCTCTGAAGTACCTCACAAAATCATATCCTTTTCATGCTGGTTCACTGTCCTTTCAACAGCTGCTTTGACATTATGTTTTTCCCCTCTAAGGAAAAGAAGTCTTCTTTCCACTAGCATCATAATCCAGGCAACAAATTCATGATAAGTCTAATTTTCTTATTTATTAAAATTCAGATAAAGAAAAATGTAAGCATTCAAATAGTTAACATACGGATCACCTAGGGGATATAACATTTACTTTGACATCAGCAGTTCCTGTGATGATTTCTGCTTCAGAAACAGATTGCAGCAATGAGATTTCTTGGTAGAGATTAGGAAAGCAAACCAGAGAACCAAGAATAGTATGTGCTTCTAAGCGGGGAGCCTATAAGGAAAAAAAAAATACAAATAAATATGCTATCTTGTCAGGTAACAGAAAATATTATACCAAGACAACACAAATATCCCTCTTGTGCTAATATTATTTAAAATTGTAGTGGCTATTAGTTAGGTTGGTTATATATCAACTTCAGAATCAAGAGCAGTTTGGCTCTGTATATCAGTTGCCAAGAAGGGTAGACCTTTTATCTGTTGTAACAAGAGTGACAAAAAGCAGTGTGATGCTCAAAGCCTAATCAACGTACTGTGGCATGGTACAGCACAATGGAACCTTGAAAGCCAATGGTATAATACATTCTTTCACTGGTGTACGCACACACACACAAGTGAAAGAATGTATTATACCATTAAAAAGACAAATGGACAAAGAAAAAATTATTTCCAGAAAAAAATAACATAGTAACATACATCTGGTAAATTTTGGAAGCCAAGGTTTTTCAATTTAACAATAATGACTAGTCACCATATATTCTTGCCCAATGACAAATCTGATTATTTTTCTAACACATTGACAAAAGGTGTCACTTACCTCAGGCTATGAAATAGAAGGAAGAGTGATGGTGACAAATAGATAGTGCTATAAATCAGCACCACAGAAGAGTCTACGGTTATATGGGACACTAATAAGTTATAAGATAACTCTTGTTCAAATGTCTAGTTATCAACTAAATATGCATTTTATGCCCAGACCATTACTGCACTGCACAGTATATTAAGCAACATTTTAAGAAATATTGTTTGCCATCAGTCCAAGCTTTTACAGCACAAAAAGTATTTCATGTGTAGGGGGGTGGTATTTGCAATATTCATGTATTGCAAAAGATGTAATAATATTCTGAAACTTGGCTTTGCTTTTAGAGTGCCAATGTGCAGTAGCATTAGAGAGTATATGATTTCTCACATTTTGTCTTCTTGATGAAACACCTTCGCAGTACAAGAATGTCACCTTATCCTACAATTTCACACATCAGTAGCCATGGTTTCTGCCCCAGGAGCCCAGTTTCACATTGCACTAATGAGCCAACACTTGTTAGAGTACAGAAATCTGAACCAGACTAACATTTGTGCACTCTCTCACAGGTCCGTGGACAATGAACGTTGCCATACGTACCTCCGGCATGTTTGTACTCAGAACCCTTGCTGCAGCTGTTATGAAGTCTCCTATTAGCAATGTGAAGCCAGGTAAGCCCAAGAAGAAAAAGCAAGGGGGGCAATGCCTTATAATAATATTTAAAACATCCTGAAAATAAGAAAAAGTCAGTTTTTTTAATCCTTACATATATTAATTGTGTTAAAGATGATTCATTGTGTAAACTTGGAAAGCTCACAGTTGACAGCAACATCAATATCCTACACACACTTCTACTCAAGACTAGGTTCTGAACTGCAAAGGGTGAACGAGAGGGTAGCAATTTTGCCTCCAGCAGCTCTGATTTGATTCTGTCTCTTACTGTGCAAAAGCAGAGACCTGTCCATATCAGAGGAAGCAGCTGAGTGAAAAAAGATAATCCTATAAACTATTTACGTATTTGGAACAGTATAAGGGGAAAAAACCCTGATGGGTGATAGATAACATTTGGATAAAAATAGTAATAGAATTTTGCAGCACCGTCCCCCTCATCAAATAAGAATATCAGTGTTCATGTTAAAGAACCATATCAATATAATACACAAAAGGGGAAAAAAGTATAACAAACCATTTAAAAAATCAAACGGAAAATCAAAGCCTCATATAATTATCAATTTTGATAGTAAAATCAAAATCTAGAACAGCGATCCCATTCTTCTACTGTACATTTGTTGTTCCAGCACCGCTTGTTAAATGCCTGATTGCTTTTTACATATGAGCTTTGATATTCAAGGAATAGTAAAAGACTTTGCAGGATTATTGTCCCATATAGCTGAAGCATGAATGCAGCAAAACTCATCTTATGCGACTGTACACCAACATGACAGGGTATTTTACGCAAATGCTGTTTAAAAAGTAAATAGATTTTAGCATCACAGCAGACAGCATTTTCACCTTTGAAATCTACTCAGGTTAATGTTCAAACTGGTTTTAATCACTTCCCGTGATACATTTTAAAGGCAATATCAGTCAATGCAAACATTCTAAAAGAATGAGCAGATGGATGCTGGAGCTCATGAAGTGGCTGGTAAACTCTTGCTCTAAAGGCACAACAAAAGACCCACCTTTTCCATAATTAAGGGGCTGATTAATGCATTGGGCTCCTCACAACACACCTGTAATTGCTGGGAGGTAAGCATTGTGCTGCACGCCTAGTGTCTGAACAAGCTATACAGCAGCAGATGGGGTTATGTCTCTGTTGACATATGCCACAATAAAAAGACGCATGAATCTTGGCATGAAAGGTAGCAGGGGCAGCATTTTTAAAGATTAATAAGTACTATTAACCTTGCTCTACATGTTTAAAAGGCCATGTGCTCATATGAACAAAACTGCAGTTTCAGTTCTTTTTCTGAATTAAAAATAGAGTTCAGGAATAATCTCCAAAAGGACTGACTGAAGCTATACATATAAAAGCATCAAAAGTCTTGTAGCTTCATTTTTTAAAAAAACAGTGCTTGTGTTCAAGCGTTCTAACCTTTTCTCTAATTTCAGATGCCTTTGTTAGCTGGATGGTAAAGGAACAAAGAGCACACTTCACTAGGACATTCTCCTGTCGAAGTCCCAATGAAATAAATAAAAGTTATGAGAGAGACCTCATGGTGGATTGTGTTTTCTTAGCTCTACAGCTGAAGGCAGGATAATCCTCCTAATAATATGAGCCATGACTACTCAATATTGTTAATTACCAGCAACAAAGAGGTCCCATCCCATTTTCAATCAGATTATTTTTATCTTTACTTTTATAGTTCCATGTTAATTTAGTGCAATTGTATTATTCCAGGTAAGTTATGTCAGCTGCCTGAAACATGGGATATATATTAAGCTGCTCAACTAATAGTGCTTAAAACTACTCTTCAGAATTTCTGCTTTTCTTTACTACTCTGACCTTGAGGATATGAATTGTGTTCAGCAAAAACTTCTGATGAAGCAGGTTTCTGAAAACAAAATATTGTATTTGAGAATACAAAATGAAATCATTTATGTCTTAGGTAGCCATAGTACTTTATGAATTGTGGGAAGCTTACTTTGGACTCACCATTATTCCTCATGCAAGGAGAAGCATGCATGAAGATACACATATCACTTTCTATAAATAAAAAATTATAATTGACAATAATATGTATTGTTTATCAAATGCATATTGTCAGCCATGGTCTGAACAGGAGATGCCTCTCAGTAGCACATAGGGTAAATGCAAAATGAAAGATAAATTTTAATAATCTCAAGTACTGTACATTAGACATTTTTTTCCTTTTTAAATAAAACATTTATTGCAAAAATGAACAGCAACTTCTGCATAATATACTAAAAAGAGAAAACAAAATAAAAATGCATTGATATATCTATTTAGTTAGACATACTCAGTGGCGTAGTGTAAATCTAGAAGTGAAGGTCCTCATATTCAGCCTCACTCCCACCAAGGCAGTCTAAAAACACAAGCACCTGGACCAAGCTATATCAGCAAACAAACAGGTCTTTTATAAAGCTAATGACTCTTCGCTGCCCATTGAAACCCAGACCACCCACAAATACTCTGCATTCCAACAGGATTAGCAGGGAAAACCTATTCTATCTCAGCTACTGGGAGGACTGCAATAAAGCTCAGAGGTAAAAGGGAAGCCTGGAGAGTGTGGCACATGACATCATAGACCCTGCTCTACACACCACTGGGTATATGTAAGCATAAGTAACTAAAATTCTTTATTATGCCTTTTCTTCTGCTTGCAATTTACATCCTTCCAAAAGAAGAATGACCCACTGGTTAATAAATGCTCAAAGATTAAATATACATATAAGAAAGGGGGGGAAAAAGAGAGAAAACTACATTTCCCTAAATAGATCACATTACTCCTTTAGTCAATCTACTTGAATGTATCAGTCTTTCTGAAAATGTCACTTTCAATACCCTTAATCATTATCTTTTTACTGTATATACTAGGGTCCTACCACCATGACTGTTGATCTAAATGCTAATAGGAGCTGCACAAGGTCCTTATGAAGGTGTTTAATTTTATAAGAAATAGAAGTGACATTAAAGGGACACAGACCATTTTCTATATACTATGATCTTCTCCTGTTTTATGGCTACACACACTTTAATGTGTAATTCCAATTGAACACAGGATTAGTTACAGTCGTGCCCTGCTTAACGATTACCCCGTATAACAACGAATCCGCTTCACGACGATGTTTTTGCGATCACAACTGCGATGTTTTAATGTGTTTTTCCCCCCGCTTTGTGACGATCGATTCCCTGCTTCGGGAACCGATTCTTCACATTACGACGATCAAAACAGCTGATTGTCGGGTTTTCAAAATGGCTGCAGGCAGCTCAAAATGGCTCCTCACTGTTTTTAGGAGGCATTTTTCGCTTAACAGGCACCCGAAAATGGAATGCATTGAACGGATTTCAATGCATTTCAATGGGCTTTTTAATTTTGCTTGACGCCATTCTCGCTCTACAGCAATTTCGCTGGAACAAATTAACATGATCAAGTGAGGCACCACTGTAATTCTGAATAAACATGCACAAGATTTCACTGTTGTCGGGTTCCAGTTCCGGTTTCGTCGCAGCGATACCGCTCCCGTTCAGGGCTCCGAGCGGTGAGGGGGAATCCATAGTAGACATGGGGGGTCCTGGAGGGTCCTTCAAGGGGAAGTGCAATTTCTGGGTCCAGATCGCAAGCGCGACAGTGACTCGCGACGGACCCAGTAGCCTCTTTCTACCCTGTAGTGGTGAAGGGGCAGGGGCTAAATGAATCCCTTCTGAAGAGCTGTAGACTCTGGAAGACTGCAATATATATCAGAGTACCAAGTTTATACATATAAGTAATAATATATATTACTTATATATAAGTCTTATATATAAGTCTTCCTTTTATTCTGCTTGATGAGAGCTTTTCGGAACTTCTTTGAAACTTTTTTTTTAGAAAGAGTGATGTGTTTATCTAAACATGGTGCTCCTCTTGCATAAAAAGCATATGCACCATTTTGGCAAAGCTCTTTATCACCCAGACATTCTTTGGTTTTTGGTTATCGGTAAACGTCCAAAGAACTTCTCAGAGAACATCAAGGTCATTCCTGAGATAAACATACAGTGGATATTTTCCATCACTTGCCATTCGGTAATGCGGAAAGTTTTTTCAACTTGTTCTAACAAAAGCTACTGGAGGGCAGTAGAGAATAACAGGGGGTGTAGAGAGAATTGCTTGATAAATCTGTGGAAGGTATATGTTTGAGTAACTTTCTTCAGATATACTGAATATATATCGAACAAACTGGATATATTGGACTTTTTTTTTTTTGGATTGGCGAATAGGTGGAGGAGGAGGCCTGGGTGTGGGCATCGAGGCTTCGCCGGCAGCGCTCGACTGGCAGCACATGACCGAGATCCTTCCTTTCAAATCAAGGAGGTAATGTTGGCATATATAAATTTTTTTTGGGGGGGGTAAAAAGTAAAAAAGTTCTCTGACCCCTGTTATATTGGAAGCTGCCTAGAGTGGTTCGCCCTGTTATATTGGAAGCTGCTTAGAGTGGTTGTATAGACCAGATGGGTGGGATACAAATCAAATCAAATCAAATCAATCAATCGATCAATCGATCGATAGATAAAAAAATAGCTATTCTAAACATTTGCAGGGGTCAAATGGGTGTATATCTGTAAGCCATTCTCTGGACCCTTCTCCATACTGTGAGTGACTTGAATTGATCCAAGGTGACAAAATATTTCTGGAAGTTTTTTTTCTGCCAAAAATTTCAATTACCTAATGATAAAAATATACGCATTATGGAACAATAGGGTGAATGAGCCATTTACAAGGAGATTTTGTCCCCTGGGAAAGCAGTAGCATGAGGACATCTGTTTTATGTCAGTGATTTGCAAAAAATCAGGTAGCTCAAACATACCAGGTTGTTTCCTTCCCTTCAAAGTGCAATTCTATAAATGTAAATGACATTCAGCAGCTTGCAGCCTAGTAAATCAATCATTTTAATTGAATGCTAGGTACACAGAAACTGGAACCATAAGCAGTAAGAAAAGTACATGGCAATGGCAATAGAAAATGGCTTACAATTTATACAAGTCCCCCTCCCCCTCCCTTTCTTTCATA